GACCAAAGAAGCGCTTTGACCCCTCCGGCGTGGCGAACTCGAGCAAGTGTTGCGGGCGCCGCTCTCCGCCCCTGATGTTGTAGGCGCCGCCCTCGACCTCCGGACGAAGAACCCGACGCAGACATACGACAACCACTACGTTCCAAGGGCAAACCAACAAATATCCGCGCCCCGACCCACGGGGTGGGCTCGCAAATCTGTCCGACACGCCGCCCATAGGGCGGGATGGGACGTACTCCACTTGCTAAACGGTGGCGTGGCGTGGCCACGACGGTTCACAATCGCCTCAATCCTCGACACGATCCGCTATGATGGGCGAGATCAAAGCGTGGGAAGAAGGAAGGACCGGGTTCCTCGAAGGACCTTCTATGCTCTTAGTGTTTTCTTCTTCCCCGTCTGTAAAAAACCCTGCTCCCCCTTGATCTATAAAAGGGGAGGCAGGGCTCTCCACTAAGGGATCGATCAACCGATTCGGAACAGGTTAGCACACACCACACGGCCAAGCGTCAACGAGCTCTTGGCGTCCTTCCAATCACTCCATCAGGGACTTGGGGTCTCTCCCTCTTCCAACCGTTTGTACCCCCTACTACGAACCTCATTCGATGCTAATAACACGAGCAGCAACAGACTGGACGTAGGGACATTCAGCCCGAACCAGTATAACCCTTGTGTCCTTTAGCGCACCATCCGGGCCTAACGCGCATCAATTACAAATTTACTCGCCGGTGTTTGTTCGAAACACCGACAATCGCTAGTCCACCATTGGTCATTTAGGGCCGACAGCCATAACGGGTATCACAGGCGGCTCTGCGTATAATCGGCGGAGAAAAAGAACCCAAGCCCCACCGTGTCACTAATTGGCAGTGATAGAACTTTTTACCTACGGTTTGATTGTTGTCCAAGCCCCATCGTGTCACTAACCGGTGGTGAAACAATTCTCGACAGTGATAATGGCGGCTAGGTAGCTCAGTTTATAGTAGTGCACTTCATACCACAAACCCTAGGCATGCCCTGATTTGACTCACATTATTTAGGAATCGAGTTGCCCTTCGGGATGCAACGTAGGCCCCATTATCAACCACTCCAGCCGATGGCTAGGCATGACCACTCGTTTGGCTACTCTTCGACCGCCACCTGCTAGGGTTGGATGCGATTGTAGCTAGGCGATGGAGAAAATGGGCAACAAGAGTGAGAAAGAAAGGAGGGAGTCGGGAGAAGGGGTCTGGTGTCCCTTTGTTTGGACCATAGAAGACACCGAGGACGAATTCATGGACCCAGAAAAAAAAAAGAATTGGAAACTGCCAACGAATTTTACTCTTTAATAAACCTAATGGACTCTGTGTCCCCTCCAGCCCTACGAGGAACTCCGAATCTTTTTCTGTTTTCCCCCGTCATATCAGTCATCCCTACCGTACCTACCTAGCTATTTGTCTACTCCATATGAACCTAGTAGGAACTAGAGTCACTTTAAAAAATCGTCCACTCGCCACTGCGCGCCTTGATCCTCCTGTTGAAAAAAGAAAAGAAAAGAAAAAACCGGCGCCAGACATTGATACATGATCCATCCATGTGATGCCCTGACAAACACAAGCAAGGCGGATGCCAATCAACCTCACCCTTCCTTACGTAGCTAGTGTCGTTTACCTTGGTGATTGTACTGGGGATCCGCGTAGGCCGCAACTCGCGCCGCTAGCAACTCGTTCATGTGAAGGGAGGAGCGGCCAGGTTTCTATATAAGCTTCTTAAAATTTCTGTCACATCAAATATTTAGATATATATATGGAGTATTAAATATAGATTAATTGCGAAACTAATTACATAACTTGCGATTAATTTACGAGACGAATTTTTTAAATCTAATTAGTCCATGATTTGACAACGTTGTGATACAGTAAAGATATGCTAATGACAGATTAATTAGGCTTAAAAAATTTGTCTCATAAATTAGCATCCATCTATGTAATTGGTTTTATAATTAATCTATATTTAATGATCCTTATTAGTATCTAAATATTTAATGTGCCATAGATTTTAGGAGCAACTAAAAAATCAAACAGCCCGCAGCCTCGCATAACATACATTTGAATGATTATATTTGACTGAAGATGAGATTCTGTCGCTCGTGTGGTCGCCTTTGCATGCATGGCAATATATTGCATGGGACCTACAGAGATACTCCTACCATACTACTAGCTACGGCACTAGCTAGGGCCTCAAAATCATTCATTGCATTGCCTGGTGCTCTCCTTAATTATTTTGATGATGGTGCTAACTGTTATCCATGCATATTATATGGCTGGTAGTGCGCTGTGAGGAAGATGTCATAGGATTTCTTTCATGGGCCCTGTGATTTGAGGCCTCGATTGGTTAATCTTCTGAGCCTTGTTTAGTTTCTTTAAACTCTTGAAAGGTGCACTATGTAAAAAGAAGATTTTTCGTCACATCAAACTTGCTGTACATACATGGAGTACTAAATGTAGATGAAATCAAAAACTAATTGCACAGTTTGCTTTAACTTTACGAGACGAATCTTTTGAGCCTAATTAGTCAATGTTTGGACAATAATTCATAAATACAAACAAAATGCTATAGTAGGGAATCTTCACTATACAAAGTTTGCCCAACTAAACACCCCCTAAAAAAAGGAATCAGGATATGAACATTCTCCATGTACCATATGAGCCACATTCAATTGTAAACCAAAAACAAATTGACATGTTTTTTTTACCGTGGGACACATGAATTTCACATAAACCTTGACAAAAATGTTAGTTCCGAGTCTCACGTGGCTCAATTAAGGAGGTATTTGGGACTGCCTCGCTCCCGTTTTTACAGCTCTGCTCCAGCTCCATGTTGCCAGATACCTTCGGCTTCAAGAACTCCGCTCCATGAAAAAGGTAGAGTTAGGGGCCAACTCTATATTTTTTCTGGAACACCTTAAGAGGTACTTCAGTTTTTAGAGTTTCATACTCCCACGTAGAATTAAGGGGTAATTATCCACCTAGCCACTCATTAATCACGACTCCCTCTGTCCTACGTCCGATGGCTACGACTCCGCTTCCTCTCCCGTGCGTGTGCTCCAGCAAAGGGGAAAATGTGAGTTCGTTGGGCGGCTGGGCTGCTCGGCCTTTGGGCCTTGAGTGGCCTAGTACGGACATTATTCTTTTTTTAATTATTCAATTCTTTATTTCCAACAAGAAAATAAAAGGGACAAACCCCTTAAATGAATAATAGTAAATGCTAACACATATGTTGAGTGCTACTTAATAAACAAACGTAAATCAGGGGCAAAATAGACCATCTATAGGAAAACAACCCATTCCTAGAGCTGGAACTAGTCTGTGTGCCAAACAGTACCACCTGCTCCACGAATTCTATAGTGGATCTGCTCTATAATGGAGTTGATGGAGCGAAGCTGCAAAAATTAGAGTGGAGTAGTCCCAACCACCCCTAAAAAATAGAGTACCTAAGCTAGCTCATTTAGTTAGATTTGTTCGGTGAAATCTACTCACCTATATTTATTTAACTCTTATTAGGCTCTGCACGGGTGCTAGTGTTCCTCTGTGAGTTTGGTGCACTAGCTTGTGGTTTGAATTCTTTTCAATCTGTATGAATCTCCCACGTTAGAGTTGCAATGCATTGTCTACTAGCTTAGAACCTCATATCATGATACTGATATTCTTTCTGCTACCTTGGTGCTTTAACAAATTATAACTATAAAACTCGTAACAACGCAAGGGGCTTTCACCTAGTTTGTTGTAAAACTTAATGACGCTATTCTCTTAGTATTATGCAATGTGCCTGTTGATACATTTATAATAACTTTGTCAATCTCAGATCTACGAGTTTGGTCCCTTGAAGGTGTTTATAAAGATATGATATGATATGATGTCCATGTGCGTGTTCATAGGAAAGAGTGCTTGTGTGTGTGCATAGTAGGCAAACACAAACATCAACCACCTTGTCTTACGAGTTGAATCTCCTCCCGTAAAATTCTTGAAGTTACTAAGGACCTATTTGTTTCACTAGTTTAAATAAACAGTCCAGCTATTGAGTTGACTTTTGAAAAGTTAGGGCTTTGTTCACTGTAACTTTTTTTTAGAACCGCAACAGCTGCCGCTGGTTGAAGAGTGAGAAAGGAAACATTGTTTTATGTGCAGCTGCTTTGCAGCTGAACAAGCCCTAGAAAACTAGCTTATGTGGAAATGAACTAAAAGCTGAAAACAAGTTGAGAAGAGTTTTTCTGACTTTTGTGTATTGAGAAGATAAGAATTTATAGTCTACCAGAAACCCAAAGTAAAAAAGCTAGTTTTGAGTTACAAGCTTAAAACTGCACCTGAAACATTCTTACCGATGGACACAAACTAGAAATGATTTTGATTAATAAACTAATAAATCTTACAAATTTCTAGAGCAACTTTGCTCACTTTATTTTAAGGTACTCTTTAAACTCCAATTTTTTTTATCTAGAAGTAGAGTTGGAACTACACCTATTTAACTAAAAAATATAAAGTAAAACTAGAAAACATGAAGCGTAGCAGTTTTAAACAGGCCTAAAAAGAAAGAAGCTCAAGTTGCTTCCGCGTTGCCGCGGCTTGGTGAGACGCCTGCACCATGTCACCGTCCGTTGTCTCCGGCAGCTCACCGGCGTTGCATGACTTTTGGTGCCGCTGGAGCGTGGCACAAATAGCGACCTTCAAGTGGCTTGTTCGTTTGGCTGTGGTTTGTCGTAAACGATAGTAAATTTTTAGTCGGAATAGTATTTTTCTCTCACACAATTCAGTCAACGATACTTCTTCACGATCCAGCAACGATATGAATCAAGCAACCGAACAGGTCGAAGGACGCCCAATTAGGCCCACAACCACACACACTCTCATTCCAGCCCATCCCACGTGGCCTTCTCCTCGCCCGCTCGTGCTCACCATCCCGCTTCCGCTCCCCTGATTCGTCTGCTCTCCCCAAACCCCACAGAACCCTACCATCCCCGCCGCGCCGCCATGGCCGCCGGCGGCCGGCCGTGGCGCGTGATCCCCCGTCCTGTACTCGAGACCGTCCTCTACAACCACGCGCTCCGCCCGCGCGTGCCACAGCCGCTCCTCTTCCACGGGCCCCGCGGCGTCGGCAAGTCCACGCTACTCCTCCACCGCCTCCTCCCGCGGTGGTCCGACCCGCCCCACGCCACCGCATTCGTCGATTTCCTCCATCCCACGCCGAGTTCTCCCGCCGCTGCCCCGTGGTCCCTCCTCCCCGCCGACCCAGCGTCGCCCCCCTCGCTGCACAACCTCCGCCTCCGCCTCGAGTCCGCGCTTGAGGGCCTCGCCCGCGCCGCCGTCCTCTGCGGCGCTGTGGGATCTAAGGACGTGCTCGCCGCGCTCTCCCGCAACCACGGCCTCAGCACCGCGCTCTCCCGCCTCTGGGGGCCCTCCGCCACCCGCTCCTCGGCCGCCTCTGTGCCAGCCCGCCGCTCTTCGGCGACCTCCGTGCCGGCGCTCTGGTCGAGGGCCGTGCTCGCCGCGGTGCGCAGGGACGACACACTCCGCATTGGCGAGGGAGAGGCGACCAACTGCTCCATGGAAGAGAGGGCATACATGCAGGAGGCAATGGCGTCCTTGCGAGTGGCTAAGGAGGTGCTTGGAATGCAGGAGGGGTGGAGGAAGGAGGCAATTAGGGAGATGAATAGAACTGGGCGGTTCTCGCGCTCCTTGGCCAATTCGGCTACTGACTGGCCATGCCTGTTGCTGGATGTTCTGTCGGGTGCTGCAGAGGAGGAGTTCTTCCAGGTAGACTTGGTGTTATTTCAGTTGGGTTTGTGGTGGCTTTGTATAACTTGACATTATTGTGTTGGTGCTGCTGTCATTTTTGTGCAGCCAAAGCTGGTCCTGAACAATGTGGATGTTTTGAGAAAGGCAATTTGTGAGGACGAGACGATGGTGCCTGCGGCGATGTACCATGATAGCTTCATTTGGAGGGTGATTGCACTTGGCGCGAATGAACAGTGCTTGCCAGTTATTATGTCGACTTCAGATGGGTGAGTTCTTGTACTCTTTTTCCCCTGCATTGTGCATGCTCTGTCGGTCATTTCTAGTGTTTTAGAGCTTATAGGTCATAGAACTTGAGTTTAGAGGATAATCATGTTCACATGTGAGTTACAAGCAGAACGACACGACTGTTCGACAAAAGTAACCTGGTGGAAGTATAGAGATTGGAATGCCAAAAGATTTGCAACAGGATTATTGTTTAGTTAACTTTGAATTTTTGACCTGCTGTGTTTTTGTTTGGGAACAGAAACTTGCTGTAGAGATGACTTTTTTTCTTATTAAAGTACAAGGAAATCTAGTGTAGGTTTGACTAAATGAGTTTATGAAAAACATGTCTACACATCTTGTGTGCTGTTAGGAACTTGCCAATTTATCATTCACAATTAGGTGGGTATATGCTGGAAGAACAAAAAACAAATCAAAGTTACTGTTACAGAAGGATTTTATATGCATGGGGTGTGGTGGTGTTCCTTCTTCTTGTTAGTCGCTGAATTCTTACTCTTGGTAGTAACAGAATTCTTACTCTCATAGAGAGAGGATGACACTAGGAGTTGGGGCAATTTTCTGGTTTATTTCTCACATAAATGCCATGCCAACCTGAGGGGTTGGGGATATATATTTATAGGCTGCTAGCCAGCCAAGCATATGTTAAGATGCTAGTTCTAGATGCTGTTCTATATGCTGTCCTAGATGCTAGTCCTAGATGCTGTCCTAGATGCTAGTCCTAGATGCTAAGATGCTATCCTAGCCAGTCAAGGATACTGTCCTTGTGGCAGCAACAGCCAGCAGTCCTTGTGGCAGCAACAGCCAGACCAGCCCCACAAAGACCAGACCAGCCAACACAACACAACACAGAGACTTATCCATCATTCTCCCCCTAAGTCTTGTGCGTCGTCTTGTGGGAAAGTTGAACCATCCCGGTCCTGGAGCAAAGCTCAAGGAACTTGATCCTCCCAAGAGGCTTGGTAAGGTGTCCCAAGTTGGTCCTTGGTGTTGATGTAGCTTCGCCTTGATGCTCCCGTCCTCCAAATGACCTCGGATGAAGTGGTACCTCACCCGGATGTGCTTACTCCGTTCATGGAAAACAGGATTATTTGCAGGGCAGAGCGGACTTGTTGTCCACCCCGAGCTCCACCCGCTCTAGTGTCTCTCGCCGAGGAGATCACAAAGCGCGATCGAGCGAGCAGGCGCTGAGTCGAAGGGGTGGAGGCCACTATGTACTCGGCCTCGCGGTGGACAGGCCACCACTGGCCGCTTGACCGATCGCCCGCCTAACGAGACACTTGCCGAGGAAGAAGAGGATCCCGCTCGTGCTCTTCTTTGGTGTCGATGTCGCCAAGCGTGGTCATTTGTCATTGCATCCCGACGAAGTGTGCGCCCTGTGGCACCTAGGGTAGTAGAGGCCGTGGTCGAGAGTCCCCATAACGTAGCGGATGATCCTCTTCACACTTCTTTGGTGCTCCGTTGTCGATCGCCGCATGAACCGACTAACGAGCCGACGGAGAATGCCAAGTCCGGCGTGTGTGTGAGCGAGGTAGCGAAGGCTCCCCACAAGACACCGGCAGATCTGCGTGAGTGTCCACCTCCGTCAGGTCGTCTTTGTCATGGCTCGACTTGACCTCTCTTCCATCGGAGTGAGAGCTGGGTTGCGATCGGTGAGCCCGACTAGCTCAACGACGCGCTTGGCGAGGGCGGTTTGTCGAGCGTGATCCCGAGTCATCTGGTGCACCTCGATTCCTGTGTAGAAGGAGAGAGGCCCTGTGTCACTCATCCGGAAGGTGGCCTTCATCTCTTCCTTGAATGCCGCCACCTCCGCATCCTTGGTGCCGGTGATCACCAAGTCGTCGACGAGACACCCACTAGCGAGCATTTCTCCTCGCCTGCCCGTCGGTAGATGGTCGCCTCGTCGCGGGCTTTGCTCAAGCCCATCCCTTTTAGCGTGGAATCCAACTTGGCATTCCACGCCCTCGCGCTCGTCGTAAGCCATAGAGGGCCTTGCAGCAAAGCGGAGCACCTGCCCTCCTTGCCGGGGATCGCAAATCCGGCGGTGGTGGTGCACGAGACCTCCTTCCTTCAAGTCGTCGTTAAGGAACGCCGACTTGACGTCCATGTGATGAACACGCTTAGCCCTCCGGGCGGCTAGCGCAAGGAGGAGTCGATGGACTCCATCCGCGCCACGGAGCAAAGGCGTCGTCGAAGTCGACCCCTCCCGCCACTACTAAACCTCGTGCCACCAAGCGAGCCTTGTGCTTTGACGATGGCGCCGGCTTCATCCCTCTTCGCCTTGTACACCCACTTAAGGGTGATCGCGCGGTGACCACGAGGAAGGTCAAGAAGCTCCCAGTGCGGTTCTTCTCGATCGCATCCATCTCCAATCGCATCGCGGGCGCGCCATGCCGCGTGTGTCTCTCGCCTCTCGCAGAACGACCGAGGTTCGCCGTCATCACACGCAAGGTGCAATTGCGCCTCCGGTCGTGAGGCACGGGGCCCCGACCGGCCGGTCGCCGAGAAGGTTCTCCATCGTGACGGTACCAGAACGGCTCGCCGCCGTGGTGCTGCGTCGGCGCGCCTCCTCGTCATGAGAGAGCGGAGTAGCGAAGCTCAACCGGGCGTGTGCTCGACACGGTGGTGTTGGAGTAGACATGCTCGGAGAGGTGCTGTCGGTCTTTGGAGTGCGTGGCGGTGTGCGGGTGTGGTGGAGCGGCGAAGAACTCATCGCACCGAGGTCCCGCCGGAGAGCGTGGTCTTTGTCGGAGTAGCAGCGCCGGGTCGGTGGAGGCTTTGGGGATCGGGTAGACGTGTTTCGTCGAAGAAGAGCCGCTTACTCCCCAGCTCCCTCGAAGTGGATGTACTCGGCGGTGAAGTCGCCGTCGACGTCGGAGCCGAGCCGTCGTCCACCGCTTGTCCCACGCCCATCCTCGCCTCTTCGTTGAACACAACGCCGCGCGCGCTGCGCGCATACACCGTGTCTTCGTGTCGAGGATGCGGTAGGCCTTCGAGCCTCCGCGAGAGCCGGCGAACACTCCCGAGTGCCCTCGCCGCCGAGCTTGCCGATGTGGCCAAGCTCCTTGGTGAACGCGCGAGGTACCAAGACCCGCAAGTGGGAGACCGCCGGCTTGCGCCCATGCTAAGCCTCGACTGGCGCCCCGCTGCCGAGCGCTTTGGTAGGCGCGGTTGAGGATGTAGACGGTACCGACACCACCGCTCTCTTCCCGTAAGACAGCCCGGCATCCCCTCGCTTGAGAAGGGCCCGAGCCATCCCCACAACCGTCTCGGGTTGCGCTGCCGACGACGCCGCTTCGCGCGGTTGTCAGACATGGAGTAGTGGCGCTGAATGCCGCGATTACAAGAAGACGACGCGAATTCACCCGCCCGTGAATTCGCCCGCCGTTGTCGGTGCGTAGCATCGCAGCTTCAGGCTCAGACTCCGCCTCCGCAGCGCAGCTGCTACGGCGCCGATGGCGTCCGCGCGCCTCTCCCTTGTGCCGCCGAGGACCATCACCCACATGTAGCGGGAGAGGTCGCCGACGAGCAAAGCAGGAAGTAGCGTCGTTCTCCCGGTGTGGCGGTGTCACCGGCCACACAAGTCCCGTGCACAAGCTCGAGCCTCTCCTTGGCTCAAAAGCTCGCCTGTTGGGGAAAGAGGAGTCGCCCGCTTCGTCAACACGCAGACGTCGCAGAGTTGCTCCACATGGTCGAGGCACGGCAGCCTCGCACCATCTCCGCGGGCACCGAGCGCGCCAGGCCTCGAAGTGAAGGTGCCCAAACGCTTCGTGCCATCGCCATGCCTCGTCGTCCGACGAGCGGCCGAGACAGAGGGGTTGTGCCACCGCACGATAAGGACGTAGAGTCGACGGCGCTTCCGGATACCTTGGCAAGAAGGCGGCGACGGCGATCCCAAATCCTCATGACTCCATCCTCAACCACCACGCACGCGAACCGTTCTCATCCGGTGTCCCAAGTCGATGATGGAGTTCCTCAACGCGGGGATATAGTAGACTCCGGTGAGCGTACACGTGCTCACCGGACATGGCGGTGAAGATGACGGAGCCGACGCCTTGATCTCCACGCCGGAGGCATCCCCAAACTTGATGGAGCCTCGGACGCTAGAGTCAAGCTCGGTGAAGAAACTCCGTTGACCGGTCATGTGATGGTGGCGCTGTGTCGAGGCACCACCCGTTAGTCTTGTCGTTCTTTGGAGCCGTCGCCGAGGAGGCGTGTGCTTTTGGCTCGTCAAGGTGAGAGGAGGGCAGCTGCGGCCGGTGCCGGAGGTAGCTCGATGCTTGCATGTGCCATGAAAGAGCCGGCTCCTCGCTGCAGGCGACGTGGGCCTAGCCGCGTCGTGGTGTCGACAGTCCTTGGCCCAATGGCCAAGCCGGGCGCAGATTGCGGCAGTGTCGTCTCGCGTGCGCCTTGTGCTGCCGGCTGGGCGCCGCCTGGCGCCTCCGCGGCATCACCCTTGGCGTCGTCCGCGCGCCCACTGGCGTCTCTGCGCGGCTTGCCACGCTTGCGGCCGCCTGTCGCGAAAGAAGGCTCCTCCTTCTGGTCACCTTGGCTGGCAAGCCACTGCTCCCGAGTGAGAAGGAGCTTCCCGCCGGTGGTGATGGGCCCCGAGAGAGACTGTGGCTCATCGCTGTCGACGACCTTGAGGCGACCTATCGCCTCCTCGATCGACATGGAGAGATCCAGCAGAGACTCTATCAAGCGAGCCATCTGCTTGTACTTCTCGGGGACACAGCGGAAGAGCTTTTCGATAGCTCTCTCCTCGCCGTAGGTGTCATCGCCGAACTGCACCATCTTCTGCAACAGAGTGTTGAGACGGAGAGCAAAGTCATCAACGCCCTCACCGGCTTGAAGGCTGTGTTCTCCCACTCCTGCGCGGCGCTCGCAGGTGTGGACTTCATGCGGCGCTTGGCGCCGCTTATGCGTGCTTGCGCAATGATGGCGTCTCAAGCCTCTTTAGCAGTCCGCTTGTTGGTAAGCGAGAACTGCATCTCGGGCGGGACTGCAACGATGAGGGGCATCCAGCGCCCGTCGATCTAGGTCGTAGTCGACGCCGCGTCGTCGTCGCATCGAATCGCCTCCCACATGTGCCGCACTGAGAGCTTTACCTCATCACCGCAGACCCACTCGGACGAAGTTGGTCTTAGTGAGGGTAGGCCACCCACCGCCGGGCCGACGTCCCCCCCCGACGACAGTCGGAGCCCGTGGTAACCACGGTGCATCGATCCGTTGAGAGAGAGCCATGCGCGCCTGTGGAAGGCCGCGCTCTCCATCGACCCGTCCGCTACCGTCGCCATGCGCGCCTCCTCCAGGAGCGCCTCCGCTGCGCCCCTCTTCGTCTGGTCGCTGCCGCCCGGCGCGCGGCGCGTGGCGTCTTGGCGGCCGCCCCATCGCCGCGCCGCGCTCATCCTACTCCCTCCCAAAGCAGGCTCGAGGTCCGGCTACGGCCATTGCTGCCGCAGTAAACGGAGAGTTGTCGATCTTTGCTGCCAGGCCTCGACCTCATCGCCGCGCCGAAGACGCTGTGATCCGCCGCCAGCCTCGACGCTTGTTACGCGCGCAAGCAATGTCTGTCGCCGCTTCGCTCGCGTTCCTCTCCGCTGGCAAGTTCGGCCTCTCGCCGACGCCACGTGCTCGAGGCGACCGAAGGTTGAGATCGCTGCAGGGACATGACGCGCCACCGGGGGGCTGCTGCGTGGGGAGAGGGCTGCTTCAGCACGAGCTGCTCGTCTGCGCAGAGGGAGAGGAGTGAGCAGGAGCGGTCGGAGATCTTCTTTGCTCCCGGTGGGCCAACATTGTGTAGGTGGGAAAGGAGATGAGAGGAGATGCTCAAAGCTCTGAGGATAGTACGGCTCTGATACCAGTTGTTAGTCGCTGAATTCTTACTCTTGGTAGTAGCAGAATTCTTAGAGTAAGAATTCTGCTACTACCAAGAGTAAGAATTCAGCGACTAACACTTCTATCATGGAGTTTTTCTGTCCTAGGTTGAATTCCTGTTCCTATGGAAATGCTTTGTGACTCGGGGAGATAAGGAGCGTTTGTTGGGCTAGGCCGTATCCCAGAGGTGGATACGTATCCGGTCACGTACTCAATATTCCAAAAATTAAATAAAAATGGGATACTTGGAGGATACGTATCGGAGGTGTATCGGAGGCGTATCCGTATCGGATACGTATCCGATACGCGATACGGCCCCTCATTGATGTATCCGTGTTACAGAAATTGTAAGTAACAATGTTTGTGTTTTATCAAATCATAGCATAGCTGAGGTACCAAAATATGCTCAATCAGTTGATTTACATATGCTAGGCATTTGAACGACACGTGGCACACTAAAGCCTAAATGTAGTTAGGCATTTGGAAAGACAAACCATAAATGATGTCAGATGCAAGTGATCTACATTCCAATGCAAAACTTTGTTCAATCCGTTTCTTGACCATTTTCAGTACAATGGTCACATCTTTTTCAATACTTAGGTGATAGTGGTGTACCCAAACCATATGGTATATAGGTCTTGGAAAGGAAAGTAAATCAAGTCCATCTTACAGGATTTCTTCACTTGATTGGGCTTAAGTCGTACCAGTACCCGCCTACCTGGAGAATAGTTCAATTCTCTTTCTCCACATGACAACCTTGTGTTGTCAAACTAATGAATCCCTCTCCGCCCCTGCTCCGACGAAGCAGATGGATTGCCTTATGGTTATAAGTTTAAATTATAGTAATAACTCAAAATATTCTAGTAATGGAATTCCATATCGCGAATCCTTTATTCTTGCCCGCACTGAATTGTACTCTCTCCAGTCACAAAAATATGTAGGACAAGATTTAGTGAAACCTTAAAAACTACAAACATCAATAATTATTTTGTTTGGAAACATGTAAGTTATATGTGTGTAGTTTTTTTTATCCAAAATGCTTGCAAAATCTCTCAACTTTGAAGGATTTTAAGAATATATTCTAAGAGAAATATGTTATTGCTTTCTCCATGTTTGTGCTGTGAAGTTTGGTGATAACCGGCAATTTGCATTTCTACAGTGGTGTGGGATGATTTTGAGTGAGCATACTGCCATGCTGGACCAAAATTTTGTGATGCAACTGCCTCCAAAATTGTTACAATAGAGGATGTCTAGAAAACCGTAATAAGGATGACACCTGAAGAAAAGTATAGTTTTGTTCATCTGCATGCGCTTTTGTTGGTTCAAAACATTTTATTCCCATTATGGATTCATTTAATGTAGGTTCAGTGTTTTTATATGAGGCTATGAGGATATGGGATTACCCTTTCGCAAATATAACACACAACATTCTAGTTAGAGATTCTGTTTCCTCTGGACTCTGTTGCATCTTCATGATCTTTTTGTTGTGATGAAAGCTTGTTCCCTAAAGAAAATAAGCTTGTCACAGCCCCTCAAAGAGTTGTTTTTATTCCCTGTTTATTTTCTTGGAACTTCGATAGTTCTTCCTGGCATGCTATGGCCTACAGTTTACCTTAACTCCAATAGTTTTCTCTTGTCATATTTATGGGTTAAGGAATTTTTTACTGTAAAACAAGTACTCTGCTGCATTGCTGCTAACTGGAAAGTATCAACTTTACACATTTTCTGAATCTTTGCAGGTATTATTCTTCCCAAGCGTTCGTTGATTTTGGTTTTCCAAACATATTTATTTCTCGTGAGGTATGCTCATTTCGGTGCCTTTCTATTTTTTCCGCGCTTCCTACTTTTTTACTTGAAGCATAATAATTGGATGACAGACATTTGGTTGGACGGCACAAGAAGCTAAGCTGCATATGGTTTCTGAATTCTTCAGTGAACAGGAGGTAGTTATATTTTAGACCTGCTAATGTTTCCTTTTTGTGTGAAATATGAATGTATTCTTCCTATAATTTTCCCCTTGTGCAATCTCTGTACATAATTTGTTTTTGATTTTTATTGAAGTTGTAGTGGAAAGTTGTAGATGAGGTTCTTGGGCCAAACCCACGGCAGTTATCTGAGATATATATGCTAAAGCAAAAGGCGAATAGCCCAGAGTAAGTAACTTGCGTCCGTAGTTTGTCATTGAACTTTATTTGTTTTATCCCATGTTGGCAGTATCTTATCCCAAAATATGTTTCACTTTCGTTTCTGATCTCATTTGGGTAAGATGTCTTCTTCTGGCCTCCTGTCATTAATAAATAGAAGGAAAAAACTCTTATGCTTATTGCTTTTGTAGACCACACATTTTTTTCTTGAAAAATCACTAGATGGATGAGTCGATCAGTTCTAGGTTCTTTTCCCTCCCGACAAATTCTATAAGTTTATCAGTTTCGCTTTGTTTCTCTGATAAGTTTGAACTATTTTTAATATGTATCAGGTTTTGTGATTTTTGTCCACCATACCTTCCTAGGAAATCCTTCTTGTTTAGTTAGGGCTTATATACAGGATTCAAAGTGTTCAGTTCTGAGACCTTTGCTATTTTTTTCTATATTCAATTCCGTGGTTTGCAGTAAAGTCTCAGTAAGTTTTAAAATATACATGATAACAGCACCCACCTTAGTTTTATTAACTGTACATGCTGCTTATTGCTGTTGCCTGTGTCTAATCTCTGTTGCATTACAGGGTTCTTCATGACAGAAATATTGAGGAAATTATTGATACGTACCTGGCACACTTGCAAGTAAGTAAAGTTTCAGTTGTTGCCAGCTGCGTTGCTTAGACATAAATGCCAGCTGAGTTGCTTAGACATAAATGCTATTTAATATGCCATCTTCTAATTTGAAAACTTTACTTGCTCCCTACTTCAAATATGCTCTTTTATCATTGTTGTGTTCTGCTGTTTCAAATTACAGACTTAAAAGAATGCACACAAATTAAGAGTGAAAAACATGATTGTTGTTTCATTTCTTCTCACCAGGTCTCTGTTGTTAATCCAGCCATGGAGAAGGCACTAAAAATGCTGCAGAAGTTTGCCTCAGATGTCCGTGAGGGTAAAGTACCAGAGAACAGATTGTCTTTTGGTGCACCCTGGAGACATCCACCTCGGGATGACAACCCTGACTTGTCCTATAAATGGGCGAAGATTCAGCTAATGGATTTTATCCAATCCTTTGTGAACACTGAGTTTGGGGTATAATCTCTTTGCAAGCCAGCATTCAGTATTTGATGAATATGCACTGCACAGTATTAGAGAAGTGACAGCCTTACCTTGTTCCCACTGATCCACTACTTACAAACATGCACTGAAAAGGCAACCCTATTTTGCACATCTCACATCATCTATTTATAGATAGCAGAGTTTTAGAATGTTTTATTTTGTGTATTTCACAGGTGAACTACCTAGCAGATGTCAGCTTAGAAATATTGGATGATCCTGCTGCTGTTGCCATGATGGAGGTGAAATCATTGAACTCTGCTTGATATTTGGTGTCATAATATTTATGTGCTTATTACATGGTTGCTGTTTGCTAGGTTGGTTTACTGTATCAACAAAGAGAACCATCCTTTATGCGACCAATTACTCGTGGGATTCAGCGTTGTCTTGCCAGATGGTTTGTTCTTCTACTCCTTTTAAGTATTGTGAGAAATGATTGTGTGCCTTGATATTGATCACCATTCCATCTAGGCTTGCTCAACAGAGGTTACAATTGAACATTCAAGAAACGCTAGCATTCTTTTGGCAACGTTTGATACGGGGGCGAAGCTACCGCCACTTGATGAAAGAAGTTGGCTACAAGTAAAGAGGTATATGAGAAGTTTCCATTTAATCATTCAGTAAGGGGAATCTATACTAGTTACACTTCATTTCTTGCATCAAGAAGTGATTCATTGCATCGTCAACCATTTTTCCTATTTTTGATGTGAACTGACATGTGATTTGATGGACTAACAGTCTGACATGATATCTGTATAAGAATGTTTCAAGGGTACATTATTTTTCTGGCCACTCATATTCACATGTAAGTTGATTTACTTGACATGAGCATTTGTTTATGTTCCATTCATTTTGTGAGTATGAACAAGTCTGTATTTATAGGAATCGTTGCATATGTTCATTTTCCTCTTATGAACTACATCGAATTTCAGTTTTGAGTTGTTTAGTGTGAAAATTTGCTGTCTTATACAGGCTTGATGCTACTGTTAAAAGTAACAAGTACTCCGTACTTAGTAGCAAATATTTTGTGGAAAAATGAAATTATATAATAGCATTTTTACATATAGCCTTAATTGTACTCCTAAACTGGAATCTCCAATTGTGCGTTTGTGCCCTTAAGATAATGAGAACTGCATTAGGGCACCCGCAATGGTACAAGTTAGTTATTAGCTCTGAGCCAACCTCTCCAATAGTGCTAGCTTTTAGCAATGTCTCGTAGTATGATTTGGCCCACATGACACTCTCACATGATATTGGAATGTGTGTATGAGCCTAGCTCTTGATCAAGAGTTAACTTTTCTCTCTTCTATTAAAATATGAAAAAAAATACTTAGAGCTAGTTTATGAGCCAACCGTAGTCAATATAGTTCAGTGTCAAATTCTGCATGGGCCATGCTGTAATCTGTCATTGGGTTACTTACTGTAGCTGTTGACTGCAGTGTGGTCTGGAAGCTTGGAATCAATTTCAGGTAGAGTTGAATGGCCAGTTTTACATTTTCTGCTCCTGACGAAAGAATCAAGCATTTCCTTAATTAATAAACAATGAATGCAAATGTTTGGCGTTTGGACTAAAGAGTGCAGTGGCAACAGAAGTTGATGCTGAAGGCACTCGTAGAATTTACTTGCTCTCATTGCAGCTGCATTTCTACCTGTATGACAATTTTTTAGGGAGTTGGATATCTGGCATGGAATGTTTAGATCGTCATCCCACTTAATGTCGTCTCGCGTATGTGAGCTGATTCATCATGTCCATGAGAAAATGTTTTTTCACGTATTCCAGCGGCATGAGTTAATCCTCAAGATCCTGTTTGGAAGGAGGTTAGTTTTAGATTGAATACCATTGTAAAATACAGATCCGGATAATTATACAGGTTGGATTGAGAAATGTTATTTGGATGGCTGGTCAACCTATTAAAATTACAGTTGTATTACATTGTTACGTCTGGAAAAAAAAAAGACCTCATCAGCCGGCAATTTTAATCCGACGAATGTCTGGCTCAACCTCTGACTCCGTACAGTAGCCCCAGATCTTCTCATGGGTTTGGAACCGCGTCTTCGCCGCTGGACGCCCTACCTGCCCCGTCCTGTTGGCCATCTCCATCCCCGGCCGGGCTGCTCCCTCCAGTTCTGAACTGCGCCATGAGGAGCAGAGAGCCGCGGCCCGTAGCTGTCCATGACGAGCGAGCTGTGCGATCTATGGACTGCGGGTGTTTGGACTGCGGAGCTCTGTCGAAGAAGCTTGTCCGAGGCCAGACATTTCACCCAAACATACATTTTTACGGCTGTATTCTAGTGCACAAGATATTACAATCGAAAGCTAATTTCTGGTGAATAAAATTACAAAGCTACCAAACAGGGCCTTAGGGTTTCCATGTCTTAGTGATAACCAACCAGTCTTAACATATGATCATAGTTTTGAGTATTTCTTTCATGCCTTCCATTGTATCGGTAGGGTAGGGTAGGGACGCACGCATCTCATACTTGCTCTTCAGCTCAGTTATGCTGGACCTTGCTGTGTGTGATTCAACGGCACAGCACAGGTGAGCACGCACGGTCGACTGGAGCTCGTTTAAGGTAGGACGATGGTTGCGTTACACTGACTGTCGCCTTTGCCTCCAAAATGCTGACTCCACCCATTTACTACTGTTACAATTGTTATCTGTTTCTTGTGTTTTTCCTTTCATTCCTTTCTCAGGAGAGAGTAATAATTCAATTGAATCAACCAACCAACCAAAAGCGCTTATCCAGATTGCATGATTCAACAACTCAAATACCTGTTACCAGGTATGGATATATTGTAGCCAAAACAACCATAATCCAGATCGACAAAGAGCAAAAAACTTTTGGACCCTCGTCTGTCCACAATCTATCATCAATAAGTTGAATTTCCCAATCTCAACTGCCAAAGTTGTCATGCAGTAGATGGCACGAAATCACATCACCACAAGTTTGTCGATTAATAAAAATAAGAAAATATAGCAGTGGAAAAGGTTACATTTTCTCTCTTCTCCGGAAGAAGCATACATGCATGGAAAGAGATCATCACGTTAACTTCCCCGTATAATCATTCTAATGTGACGTCCTAACTTTGTTGGTGGCGCGCCTGCGAGCTACGGACAGAGTTGCGACGCCGAGGCCCGAGGGTGGCGGCTTGGGGAGAAATTAAAGAAGAAGCAGATGATAGAATTGATTTGCGTTTAGTTCATAATTGTTGCCTCATCCACGGACCACAGGGTTCTCTATAGTATATACTAGGAGATCGTGGCTCTTACAAAACGCTAATACTCTGGTGAGGGCGTCAGTCTAGGCGTACCCGTCTGGATGCCCGTTCCCGGGCCTGCGCGCAGGGTGGGTTCAAGAGGCAATAGGCCTGCTCCCCTAGAAATCCCCACTTTCCCAAAAAACCAGAAACCTCCGATCTCCACTCGCTTCGCTTCGCGTCGTGGCTTCACCGCGCCTCGTCGGAGCACATCGCGCAGCACCCCCATCCCACGCCGCGTTTGCCGCCGCGCCGCACTCCATCCCCTGCCGCGCATGCCCCACCTCGTTGCACCCCATCCCACGCAGCGAGGTGCCCCGTCCCTGGCCCTATGCCCCGTGCCCCACAGCTGAGCGCCGTGCCCCATCCCCCGCCATGTCGAGGTGGTGCCGAGGTGCTGCCGACGCCGCCATTCCCCATCAGAAGGTTGGCCGGTTCGATGTCGGCGCCGCTGCAACGCTCGTCCTCAGTTTGCTGCATCAGAGATCCGGAGTGGCCAGACCAGGCCAGGCGCAGGCGCAGCTACCCGCGGCCATGCCGTACCACCATCCTCGACCGCCGGCTGACCGGAACCGACTGTTCCCCGCTCCACTCTGCGTTGTCCGGTAGAAGAAGGGCGTAAAACATATGATGCAAATCTATATTTCAAGTGTTTCATATGTTTCATAGGTATGTTGTAAGTGTTTCATATTGATATTGCAAAAGTAGATCGAGATGTTGTATATGTTGCAATGATTGTGCACGTATGTTGCAAGCTTTTTGTTCCCATTGGCCCCGTTCGCTTCGCTGAAAAAATAAGCCGAAACACTGTTCTGCCTGATTTGTTGTGAGAGAAAAACACTGTTCTGACTGAAAAAAACAACCTGAAAAGTACGGATTATAAGAGAAGTGAACAGGGCCATTGTTTCATCTGTTTTTTAGATGCGTATTGCAAGTGTATTTATCTGGATATTGCATATATTTCACACATATGTTGTGTGTGTTTCATCTGGATGTTGCATATATTTTACAATGGATTTTTCAAGCATTTTTAGGTGTTTTTACAAATGTTTCAGACATATGTTGCAAGTAGTTCAACTGTTTCAAACGTATGTGGGAAATATTCCATTTGGATGTTTTAAAAGTAGATCGAGTGTTGCATCTCCCTTCTCGCCTTCTGCTACCTCGCATCGGTGTCTCTTTCTCGATGCTGGTGATGTTTGGGCGACATGGACCCGTGTAAGGGCGGACGGCATGGGTAGGGTGAGTCGTTCGCGCGACACGGATCCCGAGCTGGCGGGGTGTGCGGCACAGAGCAGATGCGAGGCGCGGGGAGCTGTGTCCGGACGTGGACCTAGGGCTTGCCTACTTACGACCCAAAGGCTTGAAAGCTCAAATACAATAGAAATACTCTAAGTGGCGGAGCCAGGATGTTATGGAAAAGAGTACTCCATGTAAAAAAAAGGAAAAAGTCCGTTTTTGGCCCTCCAACTATGATAACAGTTTGGTTTTAGCCCTTCAACTCCAAAATCAAACACCCGCAGTCTATCAACTCTGTAAACCAGATATAAATGGCCCTCGCGCCGGCGCGACGGCGGTTTCCGCCCGGTCAACCCACGACAACCGCGGTATTGGGCCTTTTTCATTTTCTATCCCTTCGCGGGCCCCGCCTGTCAGGCCTTAGAGAGAGAGAGAGAGAGAGAGAGAGAGAGAGAGAGGGAGAGCAGAGTGGCGGAGGGGATGGAGGCAGAGCAGAGCGAGAGAGATGGAAGGGGCAGGGGCGAGCGAGCGGAGTAGGGCGGCGGCAGAACTCGGCTCTCAGCTCTGGCGCGTAGGGCGTCGTTGGGCTTCGGACGGCGTCCGTCGCAAATCGAGGGAGGGAGATAGCAAGGAGAGAAGAGCGCGCAAGGCGGAGAGAGATTTGGCTCCGGCGGCTCGCCGGCTTGGGGTGCTGGGGCTGCGGCGGCTGCAAACTACGACGTGTAGGGGCGGTTTCCCGCGCTAGCGTCCCCTGTTTCCAACTGAGAGAGAGATAGAGATAGCAGAGCGAGGGGAAGAGAAGGAGAGAGCAGAGAGAGGGTGGCGGCGGTGACGGCCTTGGTGCCGGCAGCGACGGCCTAGGCGAGGAAGGCGAAGGGCGGGGCTCCTGGTGCGGCGTAGGGCGTCGGTGCTGCGGCGGCTCGAGGCGCGAGCGCCTGTAGGCTGGAGTAGCCCATCTCCGGCGTCGGCGTCTTCGGCACCGGCGGCTCTAGGCTCCGACGTGGAGCTAACTGCTGCAACCGGGCAGCGTAAAGAGAGGAGAATGGAGACGCGGAGCCCCTGCGCGGCAGCCGTTGCAGGACGAGGCGGAGCTACGGCGTGCTCGAACTCGAGCTCGATCCTCTGAGCTTGGTGAGGCGACGTGACGAGCTGTGGGCTCCTACTGCGCCGACGTCGCACGCAGTGCTGAGTTCGAGCTACCGCTGGAGGTCCTGTCGCGGCCTCGACGCCCGCCCTCCCCGCACGCCCGCCCTTCGACGCCGTGGAGCTCCGGCTGCGTCCTGTTTGCCGCTCGCCTATGCCGCCGCAGTGCCCTGCTCGCAGCTCGCCCGCGCGGGCCCCGCGTCCTGCTCGCCGGTGATAGCCGACCACGGGAAGCTCGAAGTCCGGCGCGACGCGGGCGAGAGAGAGGACACGGGCGTGACGCGACGGTCATGCTGCTCCTCCGCGGCCTAACGCGGTCGGCAAGCTGGCTCGCCTGAATCGGCCATCAGAGCTCCATTAGGCCGAGCTGGTGGCCTCCGAGCTCCGGGTGCTGCTGG